GTTGAGCAAGGAAACAAACAGGCCAACTGTATTGTTTGTTATAACGCTTTCGCAATGACAACAAGGTAAGTCCCGAAAAAAATGGCAAGGGGCACACGACTCAAATATAACGAAAATGGCAAAGCAAATATAGTAATAAGATCTGTACTGTGACTATTTGAACTCTGGTTGTTATTAATAGATTTAGAGATGGATAAGAAGAAAGTCTTGAAACCTAGGTCATTCATGAAAAAGTCCAGTTGGCTCGAATTTGTGCCTATTTCGCAGTAGTTTTTGGACAAAACTAGACGCTTTTTGTAACTAATAATAGTTCATCTCCTGGAGGGTGAAATGTAACAGGGTGATAGCAATTTCAACAAAATCTCCGGTTAGATGCGTGTTTGGAACAATCTCGAGTTATTGTCTATGAGATTTCCAACCTCGACAAGGGGTTCAAAGTTCATATTTTAACTTAATTGAATCTATCCCATGACGTAATATTACGGAAGATACCCACCCGAGAACGCTGAAGAATCAATCTTCCCCCAGTCTGACTTATTCATGTTTCCAAGTTGGCTGGTCTTGGGATTACCTGGCCTAAGCCAGAGATTCAGAAGCGCCTTCGAGCACACAGGAGTTTGATTAGGTGACCCTGAAAGATTCGCTGACTATTATGAGCGTGGAGATCTTGAAGACTCGTCCACGATGTCCAAGAATACATCATACTTCTGTCCAGGGCTTACCCCACTGATAATACATTTCTTGTCATTGCCCATGTCATGGGTTCGAATTCCCGTGGATATTTTTTGTTGTCTAACTAAGTTTCCATTCGGACTTAATTTTCAAAGTTTGCCCACCCGTCTCATGCGAAATAGATGTTTTAGTTTAGATCATAACTCTTTGAAAATCTATAACATTGTATTTCACAAGGCTCTGGGCCTCAGACCCAGTCTTACCGAGTGTGGTTTCTGTATATTGTAGACTCCTCTTTAGAGTTACTACTTTACATAATTAGAGCATGAGGTAAATAGATAGATAGATAGATAGATAGATAGATAGATAGATAGATGAATAGATAGATAGATAGATGAATAGATAGATAGATAGATAGAT